TTTTATAGTGTTCCGTCTTACATTTAGGTCTCTAATCCATTTTGAGTTTATTTTTGTGTGTGGTGTTAAGGAGTGTTCTAATTTCATTCTTTTACATGTAGCTGTCCAGTTTTCCCAGCACCACTTATTGAAGATTGTCTTTTCTCCGTTGTATATCCTTGCCTCCTTTGTCATAGATTAGTTGACCATATGTGTGTGGGTTTATCTCTGGGCTTTCTATCTTGTTCCATTGATCTATGTTTCTGTTTTTGTGCCAGGACCATATTGTCTTGATTACTGTAGCTTTGTAGTACAGTCTGAAGTCAGGGAGTCTGATTCATCCTGCTCTGTTTTTTTCCCTCAAGACTGCTTTGGCTATTCGGGGTCTTTTGTGTCTCTATACAGATTTTTAAGATTTTTTGTTCTAGTTCTGTAAAAAATGCCATTGGTAACTTGATAGGGATTGCATTGACTCTGTAGATTGCTTTGGGTAGTATAGTCATTTTCACAATATTGATTCTTCCAATCCAAGGACATGGTATATCTCTCCATCTGTTGGTATCATCTTTAATTTCTTTCATCGGTGTCTTACAGTTTTCTACATACAGGTCTTTTGTCTCCCTAGGTAGGTTTATTCCTAGGTATTTTATTCTTTTTGTTGCAATGGTAAATGAGAGTGTTTTCTTAATTTCTCTTTCAGATTTTTCATCATTAGTCTATAGGAATGCAAGAGGTTTCTGTGCATTCATTTTGTATCCTTCAACTTTACCAAATTCATTGATTAGCTCTAGTAGTTTTCTGGTGGCATCTTTAGGATTCTCTATGTATAGTATCATGTCATCTGCAAACAGTGACAGTTATACTTCTTCTTTTCCAATTTGTATTCCTTTTATTTCTTTTTCTTCTCTGATTGCCGAGGCTAGGACTTCCAAAACTATGTTGAATAATAGTGCTGAGAGTGGACATCCTTGTCTTGTTCCTGATTTAGAGGAAATGCTTTCAGTTTTCACCATTGAGAATGATGTTTGCTGTGGGTTTGTCATATGTGGCCTTTATTATGTTGACATAGGTTCCCTCTATGCCCACTTTCTGGAGAGTTTTTATCATAAATGGGTGTTGAATTTTGTCAAAAGCTTTTTCTGCATCTGTTGAGATGATCATATGGTTTTTATTCTTCAGTTTGTTAATGTGGTGTACCACATTGATTGATTTACGTATATTGAAGAATCCTTGCATCCCTGGGATAAATCCCACTTGATCATGGTGTATGATCCTTTTAATGTGTTGTTGGATTCTGTTTGCTAGTATTTTGTTGAGGATTTTTGCATCTATATTCATCAGTGATATTGGTCTGTAATTTTCTTTTTTTGTAGTATCTTTGTCTGGTTGTGTTATCAGGGTGATGGTGGCCTCATAGAATGAGTTTGGGAGTGTTCCTTCCTCTGCAGTTTTTTGGAAGAGTTTGAGAAGGATAGGTGTTAGCTATTCTCTAAATGTTTCATAGAATTCGCCTGTGAAGCCATCTGGTCCTGGACTTTTGTTCGTTGGAAGATTTTTAATCACAGTTTCAATTTCACTACTTGTGATTGGTCTGTTCATTTTTTATATTTCTTCCTGGTTCAGTCTTGGAAGGTTATACCTTTCTAAGAATTTGTCCATTTCTTCCAGGTTGTCCATTTTATTGGCATAGAGTTGCTTGTAGTAGTCTCTTAGGATGCTTTGTATTTCTGGGGTGTCTGTTGTAACTTCTTTTTCATTTTTAATTTTATTGATTTGAGTCCTCTCCCTCTTTTTCTTGATGAGTCTGGCTGATGGTGTATCAATTTTGTTTATCTTCTCAAAGAACCAGTTTTTAGTTTTATTTATCTTTGCTATCGTTTTCTTCATTTCTTTTTCATTTATTTCTGATCTGATCTTTATGATTTCTTTCCTTATGCTAACTTTGGGTTTTGTTTGTTCTTCTTTCTCTAGTTCCTTTAGGTGCAAGTTTAGATTGTTTATTTGAGATTTTTCTTGTTTCTTGAGGTAGGCTTGTATAGCTATAAATTTCCCACTTAGAACTGCTTTTGCTGCATCCCATAGGTTTTGGATCATTGTGTTTTCATTGTCATTTGTCTCTAGGTATTTTTTGATTTCCTCTTTGATTTCTTCAGTGATCTCTTGGTTATTTAGTAACATATTGTTTAGCCTCCATGTGTTTGTGTTTTTTACGTTTTTTCCCTGTAATTCATTTCTAATCTCATAGCGTTGTGGTCAGAAAAGATGCTTGATATGATTTCAATTTTCTTAAATTTACTGAGGCTTGATTTATGACCTAAGATGTGATCTATCCTGGAGAATGTTCCGTGCGCACTTGAGAAGAAAATGTAATCTGCTGTTTTTGGATGGAATGTCCTATAAATATCAATTAAATTTATCTGGTCTATTGTGTCATTTAAAGCTTTCCTTATTTATTTTCATTTTGGATGATCTGTCCATTGGTGTAAGTGAGGTGTTAAAGTCCCCCACTATTATTGTGTTATTTTAAAGTCTATTTTATCTGATATGAGTATTGCTACTCCAGCTTTCTTTGGATTCCCATTTGCATGGAATATCTTTTTCCATCCCCTCACTTTCAGTCTGTATGTGTCCGTAGGTCTGAAGTGGGTCTCTTTTAGACAGCATATATATGGGTCTTGTTTTTGTATCCATTCAGCAAGCCTGTGTCGTTTAGTTGGAGCATTCAATCCATTCACGTTTAAGGTAATTATCGATATATATGTTCCTATGACCATTTTCTTAATTGTTTTGGGTTTGTTTTTGTAGGTCCTTTTCTTCTCTTGTGTTTCCCACTTAGAGAAGTTCCTTTCGCATTTGCTGTAGAGCTGGTTTGGTGGTGCTGAATTCTCTTATCTTTTGCTTGTCTCTAACGCTTTTGATTTCTCCATTGAATGTGAATGAGATCCTTGCCGGGTAGAGTAATCTGGGTTGTAGGTTCTTCCCTTTCATCACTTTAAGTATATCATGCCAGTCCCTTCTGGCTTGTAGAGTTTCTGCTGAGAAATCAGCTATTAACCTTATGGGAGTTCCCTTATATGTTATTTGTCATTTTTCCCTTGCTGCTTTCAATAATTATTCTTTGTCTTTAATTTTTGCCAATTTGATTACTATGTGTCTCGGTGTGTTTCTCCTTGGGTTTATCCTGTATGGGACTCACTGAGCTTCCTCGACTTGGGTGTCTATTTCCTTTCCCATGTTAGGGAAGTTTTCGACTATAATCTCTTTAAATATTTTCTCTGGTCCTTTCTCTCTCTCTTCTCCTCTGGGACCCCTATAATGCGAATGTTGTTGCATTTAGTGTTGTCCCAGAGGTCTCTTAGGTTGTCTTCATTTCTTTTCATTCTTTTTTCTTTATTCTCTTCCGCAGCAGTGAATTCCACCATTCTGTTTTCCAGGTCATTTATCTGGATACATTTTTTTATATATCCTTTTTTTTTCGGCCGTGTCACATGGCATGCGGGATCTTAGTTCCCCAACCAGGGATTGAACCCATGCGCCCTGAAGTGGGAGTGCAGAGTCTTGACCACTGGACTGCCAGGGAAGTCCCATTTCTCTCTCTCTCTATATATATATTTATTTATTTATGGCTGTGTTGGCTCTTCGTTTCTGTGTGAGGGCTTTCTCTAGTTGCGGCAAGCAGGGGCCACTCCTCATTGCGGTGTGTGGGCCTCTCACTATCGCAGCCTCTCTTGTTGCAGAGCACAGGCTCCAGACGCGCAGGCTCAGTAATTGTGGCTCACGGGGCTAGTCGCTCCGCAGCATGTGGGATCTTCCCAGACCAGGGCTCGAACCCGTGTCCCCTGCATTGGCAGGCAGATTCTCAACCACTGCACCACCAGGGAAGCCCTCTCTATATATTTTTAAAGAACAGATTTTAAAACATCACCACAGATATTATCAGGAAGTCTTTATAAGTATTGGAAAAGTACAGAACTCATGGTGGTAAATACAAATTTTCCAAAACTCTTTACTTTCATCTAAAAGGTTAAATTTTATCATTGGCAATAAATACTGCCAGTTGTTTTATTCGAAGTGACAGTTTCACTTCTTTTATTTTCAAGAAAATTTCTGACACATACTCAAGTCTGAATAACTGAAGTTCGTTCATTGTCTTTTCAAGTAAAAAGGTGTTCAGTTGTAAAAATTAAATGAAATAATTATTATCAACTTCTTACAACTTGAGTAAGCAGTCAATAAATGGAAGCTAGTTAGTGGTGTGATAACATTTTATGTTATCATAATACCCTCCCACCCATTTAAATTCAGTTGATGTTCCTAATATTTCTGTGACGTTGGTAAAATAGATATCAGCATCTCATTACTTAAAGGCAGAAACCTAGACTGTAAGGTGGTATAAGTTTGTAAAGTTGGTTTTAGGAATATAAAGTTACCAACCAATAAGCTGTGAATCCAAACTTCAACTCAAGCCATCTGTCTCCAAATGCAGCGTTTCCCACCATTTTGTCAGTAAAGAGTAAACAGGGGAAGCACAGCTCCACACGACCCATCTAGAATAACACTTTTTGGGGATTGCTGACATTTTCAAGAGATAATAAATTGAGGATAGGGGCTTCCCTGGTGGCGCAGTGGTTGAGAGTCCGCCTGCTGATGCAGGGGACTCGGGTTCGTGCCCGGTCCGGGAGGATCCCACATGCCACGGAGAGGCTGGGCCCGTGAGCCATGGCTGCTGGGCCTGCGCGTCCGGAGCCTGTGCTCCGCAACAGGAGAGGCCACAGCAGAGAGAGGCCCGCATACCAAAAAAAAAAAAAAACAAAAAAAATTGAGGAAAGAGTCATTGATTTTGTATAAAGGGTTCAGGAAAGAGGTATTATTTGAGCTGAGGCTTGAAGAACTAGTTTTCATCTGTTAATTTGGAAGAGAATTACCTGATTATAGAAAATCTTTTGTAAATTATGGAGAAGTATAGATGGAGTAAATTCTAAAAGATCACTTAAATAATTTTTTCTCATTCCCTTCCTCAGGCTTTAGAAAAGAACTCAAGAACCTGGAAGTAGCCTATAAATCTTATCAGTCCCACCCAGAATCATATCTACAAATAAAAAATCCTTTGATAAAAAGGTAATCCTAGCTATTTGGAATACTAAAATCTTTTAAATTAAATGCATGTATTATAGGAACTCTTTATCAGAAAGGCATACTACCTGTCACTACTCTGCAAGCAATGGGTCTAGAGCAGGGGGCCCCAAGCCCCAGGCTGCAGACTGATACTGGAACTGGGCCGCACAGCAGGAGGTGAGTGGCAGCCGAGTGAGCGAAGTTTCATCTGCCGCTCCCCATCTCTCGCATTACTGCCTGAACCACACGCTCCTTCCCAAGTCAGTGCAAAAATTGTCTTCCACGAAACTGGTCTCTGGTGCCAAAAAAGGTTGGGGACTGCTGGTCTAGAGTATTATGATGCATGTTTTATTGGGGATCATTAAAAGGATGTAAACCTTAATGATAGGGGGCCTACAAAGTACCTTGTACAATATATGATTGTTTGTTTTAAACCTCACAGCATTCTTTTGAGATGTATGGTATTTTACAAAAGAGAAAATTTGGGGCTTAGATTAAGTAATTTGGCCAAAGCAACGGAGTTGAGATTTGAATATAGCTCTTATCTACTTAGCAGAGCCTCAACTCTTTTCATCTTTGTGCTCTAATTGAATTTTGTGCAATTCTCATGAGAAAAATAATTTAATCATATGAAGATAAATAATTTGCAATGTGATATCATTTTTCTTCACCTTAGAAGTTAACTATTACTTAAATAAAGGTAGTCTTTGATTAACCAAATTATTTTTAATTAGTATACTATCCTTATAGCATTATATATCAAAATTAAAGTACCTCTATCGCTATAAACTTTGGGTGGGAAGTGTTTTAGAATATTGAATTGTTTGCTAGTAACATTTTTCTTAAGTCTATGCTACATTTTATCACAATAAATGTAATTTCAGTGTTTTTAAGTTGAATTTTTTTTTTTTTTTTTGGCTGCACTGTGTGGCTTGTGGCATCTTAGTTACCCAAACAGGGATTGAACCTGCGCCTGGGCAGTGAAAGCACCGAGTCCTAACCACTGGACTGCCAGGGAATTCTCTGATATTTGCTTTTTTTGTGTGTGTGTGTGTGGTATGCGGGCCTCTCACTGCTGTGGCTTCTCCCGTTGCGGAGCGCAGGCTCAGCGGCCATGGCTTACAGGCCCAGCCACTCCGCGGCATGTGGGATCTTCCCAGACCAGGGCACAAACCCGTGTCCTCTGCTTCGGCAGGCGGACTCTCAACCACTGCGCCACCAGGGAAGCCCCTGAAATTTGCTTTTTAAATTATACTTCTGGTTATAAATCTGATCTTGGTAATGACGGATGTTTCTAATAAACATTTATGTATTCTGGCATAAAGATTTTGGATTCAGAGAGTATAAATTGTTAATGGTTGCAAATATCTTTCCATTTTTGCTATGTTACACAAATAACATAAGTGCTGTATCGGGAAGTTAAACTACAAATGTTTGTTTTCCCTCCAATTTTGCATGTTTGTGTATGGCGTTTTAGCTTTGTTTTTATTTTTCAGGTCACATATACGTGAAACCAATGGAAAGTTATTCCCTTCATCCAATCCACAAATACTCAAGGACCGTACAGCAAGAGAGCATACCCACCAGTCAGATGAACAGAAACTTGAAAAAGCAAGTGAATGCAAATTTTCTGAGTCGCTTAATATAGAAAATTCTGAGGGAACAGGTTTGCTTTTTCACGTTGATGATAATTCTGCTTCTGCAAAGAGAGTGAACAGTAATGGAACAGTCTCACCATCTTCATTGTGGTCTTCACACATGAGAACTGTGGGGTTGAAGCCAGGAACTGCTCCCCTCATCCAGCAGCAAAATACGATAGAACAGTGTTACTCTGAGAACTCTCTATCCAGGGAACATCTCATTCAGTCAACCTGCAGATCTGATGGTTGTCAGATGCCAGAACTTGTTTGCCAGAATACCCCACCCCCTCTGCCACCAAAGAAATATGCTATAACCAGTGTGCCACAGTCAGAGAAAAATGATGTGCCACAGTCAGAGAAAAATGATGCTCCACCTGCTGTCAAACCAACAGAGATGTTTAAAGCTAATTCTTCTAGTCTTCCAAAGCACAGTTTAAGTACAGTTTCAGAACCAGGTTTAGAAGTGAGTACATATATGAATGATGAAAGACTTAAGGAAACATTTCAAGCAAAACAGTATGTCGGCGACACATCAAACACCCCGTCCAGCTCTTCAGCTGATGATTTTCAGGCCGACTTGGGTACAGCTGTTGGTGCTTCTTGCCAGCCAGAAATAGACTCTAGTTCTACCTGTCCAAATGAGACAGTTTCATTAACTACCTATTTTTCAGTGGATAACTGCATGACTGATACATATAGATTGAAATACCATCAGAGGCCCAAGCTCTGTTTTCCAGAGAGCAGTGGCTTTTGTAATGATAATTCACTTTCTCAGAATGAAAGAGGGCTAGGGCCTGTGTTACATAGTAGTCTTGGTTCAAACTGCCCTTCCAAGCAAAGACATAAACCTGGTATACACTGTAATAGATAAATGATGAAACCGACAGGCTTTTACTTCTGAGGCCATTAACTAGGAATCAAATGACCAAACCTAGTGCTATATGAAATTAAAACCATGGCAATATTTAACTCATTAATCACTTTAACTTTCTATTCAGATATTTTATTTTGTGAAGATCTACTTATTGGATATTTTGGAATTCCCTCTGAATAGTCTTGGCATGCCTCAAAAAATAGAATATCCGGGGGTATGCAGAAAGTCGTTTATCATATGCTGCAGTTGAGTAAAAATGTAATTTGTCCCTTTATTTTCTGACTGGTAGACCCATAGATATTAAACTAACCAGTACTCATATGTAGATTGGTAAACTCTGCTAACTGAAAGATAGATGATATGTAGCTTGTGTAGTCAAAGCAATATTTGCTTTGTGAGGAAGCACTTTCTAATGGGGAGCCAAAAGAGGACTTCACCCATTTGCTTTTGACTTCTGTGATAGTCTACTACATATGATCCCTTTAAGTGTCTTAAAATGTATCGACCCATGAAATTGATGGCATTTGGGCGAAAAAAGCCTTAATGATAAAACAATTTTTAAATTCTCAAGGTCAGAAGAGAAGACAGTTTTGCTCCTAGAATTTTTATCTTCAGAATATCCTTTGTTGTATGCATTCATAAACATTACTTCAGTCATGTAAGCTAAAAATACTTCACTTTAGTATATTTATTTATCTTGTTACATTTTTTCTAATTTTATATGAAATGTGAAAGGTTTTTATTTTGGTTTGGTTTACTTTGGGCTGCTAATAACCAGTGTTAGGAATTAACCTATAGTCCTCTTTTTAAGAATATCACTGTGACTGCCTAAATTTTCCCTGCTATAATATTACCTGTTTGTAGGTTGTCAGCCCATTTTAGTAATTTTCATATTCTTGAATTTGAAAATCTTTCTGGGTTTCCAGATTAAATTTTTGCCTTTCATATAGATTTAATTTTTAGTGAAATGTATTAATTTGAGCATCCCTCCCTTTTTTCTAAACAAATAATTTAATTTTTACCCCACCTATTTTCATGGAGAAGTCTTTCTTTAAAAAAAAAAAAAAAGGGATTTTCCATTATTATGATGACCTAACAAGTGAAAATAAGTAATTGCCTTATTTCATAGTTGTCATTTAATTTTGTACTAAGCTGGTAAACTAATTGTAGTTTAGAATAGTTTTATATTGTCCACACTAGAGAATTGAGAATTTAAATTTTATATATAAAACATAATAATTCCATAAACTAATTAGTAAATTTAATATCTTGACCAATCCCATAAATTGTTAAAATATTCCAAAATGTAAATGAATCTTATTTTCTAGGTAAGTAGAAAGTAATTGCTTGTAGAAGTCTAAGCTCAGAGTTATCAAATCTTGGCCAAATTTCGTCTTCCACCTAGAGAAGTTTTTAATAGCCTTTTCTAGCTATAACAGTAGGTGATTATTACTTTATATTCTCTTAATTTAGAAATACTTGAACATCAACTAAATAAAATTTTATCTTTTAAGAAAGCTTTTTTTTTAACATAGCTTTTAGTATGGGGGGGTTTGTAAATATTGTAAATTTGTAAAATTGTGTTTGAAATGTCACTGTATTTAATTACTGCTTTTATAACATTGTAAAATACTAGAAAAATGAGCTTCAAGTATTTTTAATAGCTTTCAAAAACTTTGTGTAGTTTTGTCCAGTTGAAAATGTATTATTTGAAACATTTAAACTGATTTCTGATACTTATAATCTCATAGATTTGTATGGGATTCAACTCACAGTTGAGTTGCAAATATCAAATAGAAACGTCCAATTTGGGCTCTTTTTAAAGTACTGTCCAGTTGAAACCTCCTGAATCATGTTATAGTACTAATAGACTAGAAACTGACCATTTGTTTTTGTTGATTCAACACTCCAAATATAGATTGAATATGTATTTACTAATCATGCACATGTGAATTTTTTGTTTCTAGGGTGTCTATTTTTATAGATGTTTTCTTCTGGTTATAAGCTTATTATAACTTTTAAAATAACACAGCCAACGATTGTAATGTTCAAAATACTTCAGAGTATCTTTCTGTGAAGTCAGTTTCTTCTGATTCAAAATTTTGGGGGGGGATAAACTGATTTTTAATTTAATATGGTTGGGACTTTTCTTTGCATTCATAAACTGTGGCTTCCTTTCACCTCTGTGAATTATATATTTTATGGGAAATGTAAGTCAATTTAAAGTTAAGGGGTGAACTTGGAATATCACTGATCAAAAAATTTATCACAGGAGACTCCTAAGAGTTCAACCCCCTCAAGGCCTAAAGGAGCGTTCCCACAGGAGTTGGCAAACTTTCTTTAAAGACCCAGATAGTAAATAATTTAGGCGTTGTGGACCATAGGATCTCTGTTACTCATCTCTGCCACTGTAGTGTGAAAACAGCTGTAAGGTAACATTTACATAACAGTATGCAAATGAATGGGCATGTCTGTGTTCCAGTAAAACTTTATAAGCATTGAAACTTGGATTTCACATCATTTTCACATTATGAAATAGTCTTGACTTTTTTCAATCATTTTAAGATGTTAAAAATCATTCTTGGCTCACAGGCCTTTAAAGAGAGGCAAGTGGGCCAGATTTGGCCCATTAGTGTAGTTTGATGACCCTTTTCCTAGAGCATAATTACCTCTACATTAAATGCCCTTACTAAATATTCTGTAGTCTCTGAATGTATTCCCATTACATGTAGGGACTAGGTATATGGAGCACTTCACATCCTAAAATTTTCAGGTTAACAGAACTCTAAAGACTTCCTCACAATTGCTCATTGGCCAGTTGATTTCAAACGGTTATTGAAACAATCATTTCACTTATATGAAATTTACAAAGGAATTTACCAGACTAAAATCACATTGATGTAAATACTTTTGATGTCTCTATTTTTATCACAGCAAGTTTGCCAATTCTTCTTGGTGTCCCATTTACCCAGTTAAAAGCCTTCAGGTATACTATGTTACCCTGAGATGGCACAGTTCAGTGGTAGGCACAATTTCATCTGTAGGAAATATTCAAACCTCATACTGCCACCATTTTGGATACCATTTACAGTCATGTCACAATACTACAATCTTTCTTCTTAGTAGTATCTTCCCTGTACTAGAAATTTTCAGAATATTCAATAGTTGTGGTAGAAGGCTGATTCTAGGCTCAGAAAGGTAGTATGGATTATAAATCTTTGTGTGTGACCTAACACACAAGTAATTTGTTAAAATGAAAGGAAATCAGACCCAATTTACCTGTATAATCAACATTTATTGGACAAAATTACTAGCAAGTAGCACAAAACAATTCATACAATCTGTTTGGTACCCTCAATGAAATCCCAGTTCTGTTTCTCTAGATGCTTCAACCTTGCCTAAAAAGTTCTCCTCAGGCAGGTTTGTTAGGTTCTCTGAAGGCGTAATTGTTAAACTTATAGTCAGCATTAGGCTAAAAGCCTCCAAAATCAATCCCAGATTTCACACTAACCCTAAATGCCATTCTAAAGAACAGAAGATGTAGAGTTTACCAGATCTATGCCCTGCTTCTAAGGGACGGGAAAAATATTTAGGCAATTCCAATATATAAAATGTCACCAATTTCAAGGACAAGAGCCCATTTCTAACATCTGTTATATAATAGGAATAGCTTCTGAAGGGCTTATAGTAGCTGCTTTGGGAATGTGACCTTTTTGACTAAATACTAGCTGATCACTCCTGGGAAATAAATTCTTGTTAACATACTTATATAAAAAAGAATGTAAGCTCCATAAAGGCAAGGATTTTTGTCTGTTTCGTTCAGTGCGGTACCTGGCCCACAGTAAGTGCTCAAACATTTGCTCAAAGAGTAAATATGGTGACTTTGCTGGAGTATTAAAGTAAGTTACAGACATTATAATAAACATGTTTTGGCCACAGACATTCTTAATGCAACCACAATAAAAATTAGGTTTGAAACACACAGTCCTACTTTACAGACTTCAAGAGCTTAAAAGTGAGGGGAAGCATCCAGGTAAGACCCCATGCACTCTAGCCTTCCATTACTGGATATTATATACTTTCTCTAAGATTGTACCAACCTAGCAACCATAACAGAGGTCCACTTAATCTAAAAATTAAACTGGCACTTACAGCAAATATATTGTGGGCCTGCATTTTCTGTATAGCTTTTAACTCCTTTTTTCAAAATTCTTCCCTTGCTTTTGTATAATTTATTTCTAAATATTTCACCTTATTATTTCACCATATTATCTGCATCATACTAAACCTTGGCCAACCCTTAAAATGTTAAAGGAAAAACAATCTATTTCCTAATAAGTATAATAAACCTTCATGTATAAATACTTTTTATGTTCAGCCCCTGTAAAGCCACCAAATAATCTGTAAAAAGTTTTAAAATGTGAATCAGAGCCGAGTTTTAAGAACTTAGCTATGAATGGCTGAGATCATTACCCATTTAATATAGTTCCCGCAAAGAATAACAGAATGTGTAAAATGAAATGAAGGTCTCTTAGAGTCTGAAATTCTTCTGGTGCACAATCCTGCCTTCTTTGTTCAAGAAGTTTGTAGTCATTTTCAGGATCCACTCCAGGAGCCAAAATTCTTAATTTAGGTATCAGGCAAACCATTCTGTAAAAACCAAATAATTGTCAACAATGTTTCCTTTTTCTTTCCCTTTAAATACTTTATGACAACTTTTGAAAACTTTGATTGTCTTAGTCATTTGCCTATTCCTAAATGATTTTCATATTGATAAGAGCAAAAAAAGGCCTGACTATTCTTTATAAGTCTTCCATTTTCTATCCAGAGCTGAAAATTCAGATCATTAAAAAAAACAAAAACAAACAAAAAAACACTGCATTTGAAGTATCACTCAACCAAATATCAGGAGGAGTGGGTGGAAAGATTCTCCTTTACAAATGACTTGACAGAGGATTTTACAGAAACACCCATCTTCCATTGGTCCCATTGAACCCTCGGCCACACCATTCAAGAAATCCAAGGAATCAGAGACAATGGGGCCTCACCAACAGTGAGTTTATGCCCAAATTTTTGCCAAAATTGGGGGCTGGGGGTGAGAAGAAGAAGACATAATTACCGCAAATTCAATAAGCATGATGGCTGAGTGAAATTAACTTACAGTGCTAAAGGATTAGCTCCGAAGTCCAAAGGAGCTGTTTAATGACTAAATGAGCTGCACCGCTTTTCCTCCTTCAGCTCACTGCTCCTCTCCTGAACTTGTCCCTTGTATCATCTCAGTCCTGTATCCTCCTCCTTGTTCTGCTCCCCCAAGCCCCTTCTCTAAGTCCCCTTCCTTTATCCTCTGCCAAAACAGTCTTCTCAGAGGGGGTGGCAAAGAAAATGGAGAGCATGGATTTTCCAAATGGAATCTAGAGAGTTTTGTGACTCATCAGTTGGTGTTTTGGAGTGTGCGGGTGTGTATATAAAGCAATGCGGGAAATCAGAAAATGAGACCCAGGCTTCCGGGAGGAGAAGTGAGTGAATAAAGTTAACATTTACTGAAATGGGGACACTGAAAAGTAAGGTCATCTGAGTACGAAGTCAAGAGTCCAGTTCTGGACCCATGTGAGATAACCGTGCACGGCCTGCTCACGGTCAAACCGTTGTACAGTAACAGTAGCGTTAGCGGAGCGCTGACTGCTGCCAGGCAATATGCAAATAAATCGCTTTTAGATAAGTTGGCGATTTATCTGAAACACCACGCCACACCACACCCCTATGACCTGATTACTATTGGTCCCAAATGGTAAATGTGAATATAAAGCTCCAAAAAGCCAAATAACGTCTCCAGTTTCTTCGTGGTAGTGCAGGAACTCAAACCCAGCCGGTTTCCTCCCAACATAGAACAAAAAATTTATGAAGCCAAGTTTCCTCTATACCTCATCTGAACACCCTCAACTGAGGTGCCAAGGAAGGACATTTTCACTCTGGTCTTCGTTCCACTCCCGCGCCTACCCTATCCTACCACTCGCCAGCTGGATGATGGTGGACAGGCCGTAACTTTCCGTAATGCAATTTCCTCGCCTCTCCCGCACCCACCTCCCCAAACTGGGGTAGATGGTCTCTAAGCCCCTTACCATTTCAACGATGCGTTAAGAGTACTCACCAGGGTAAAAAATACACGAAGAAAAACAACACCACGTCTAAGAGGACGAAGAGCCAGAGATCCAACCAGTAGGAATGTTTTGGTAACCGGTCTGCCCCGGACTGAGGCCGCACTTCGTGGTTCTGCTGCGGCCTCTCGGCTTCATCCAAGCGTCGCCGCTCCCGGGGACCATCCCGACCATCTTCGGCCGCCAAGCCCACCTCCATCTTGCAGCAGTCGCCACGCCACAATCTGAGTAGTCGGAAACCCTCAGCTCCCGCTCTTCCGCGTTCGCCTCGCCGGAAAAGTGGACGAAGTCCGACCCCCCCCCCCCCCCCCCCCCCCCCCCTTCCCCCCCCCAAAGGGCCCCCGTCCCCCCCCCCGAAGTGAGCCCTGTCCCCGCCCCTCCCCGCGCGCAGGCGTCGCCCGTCGGCCCGCTACCTCCGTGACTGCGGACGGACCGCGGCGTCTCCACTTGGAGGCGGGGGAAGCTGTCCGCCCGTTCCGCCCTGCAGCGTCCAGGTGGGAAGCCGGTTATTCAGGTTTCGCTAGAAGAAATACTCTCTGGCCGGACCGGAAGTCACTTCACGTCCCATTCCTGACAGGTGATTGATTCCACCTTGGAAGTGCCCATGGTCGCCTCTCCTTATCCCTGTATTCCTTTTGGGTCCTTATGCCAAGGTTTTAAAAGAGCCTCCTCTAATGGGTTTTGTACTGTCCCTAACATGTTACACTTATTTGATTAAATTCTGTAAACAGCTCTAATGAGGTTGACATCATAAGTGTGAGGGTAAGTTTCTAAAGGGGCCAGAGAGCAAAACGTGAGAATTTTGTATGTACCTCAAAGGAGTGAACTTAAGAATAATCCAAGGGTTTGGGAGTGTGATCCCCCATGACATTAGAACGTTAGCAGAAAGAAAATGATTTACCATAGTAGGCAAGGGAAAATTCTCCTCTACTGTCTTTGGGTCTCCAGCTGGGCATAAGAATTAAATTGACATAAGACAGGTTAACAGGAGAAAAGCATAGAAGTGGTTTTTAGGGTTTTTTTTTTTTTTACATGTACATGGGAACCTTCACAAGAGAATGAAGACCTGAGGAAGTGACCAGCGCAGAAAGCTTTTCTACCTTTTAGAAAAAGAAACAAGTAAGACAAAGAGGTTTGGTTAAGGGTAGTTAATTGTGGAGAAATGACTAGGAAGATAAGGGTTAGTTTAACAAGGTTTGTTTGTATGGATTTTTTGGTCCAATTTCCCATCTCTGGTGATAAAAGTATTTTTCTTCCTCCTGATGTAGGGAGGGCATCTTTTACATGGGAATTTTATCTCCTTCAGGAAGAAAAAGGAAGGTCAGAGTGCACTTCTAGCACCAGCTGTTTCTCAAATGCCTTTAACTGAAAATATTCAATATGCCAAAGTGACATATTTTGGGGTGACATGCTCTGAACTCCTTCATTCCCCTGTCTGAAACTTCCCTAGAAGTTTCACATAAACTCTGAGTTAGTGGCTGTGGAGAGAAGAATTGGGTTAGCAGCAGAGTGGCAAGGGATCTGCAAAGGGAGAGAAGAACATAGATTAGAATGAGGATGAATAAACAGAAAACAACACATCTAAGCACACTTCCCCATATCCCATTAAATCAGTCTCCCATCCCTGGGAATAGGTCAGTCTAATAGAATGGCTGAGCCTCGTTTATCTGATGGAGGGTGTTTATCTTGTCTTCAAAAGGTGCAGATTAGACACTATTTGTCCCAGGTGATTTACATAGAAGCAGCATGCTTCATCAGTGATGGCACAAGCTCCTCTTTCTTGGGCTGTCAGTGTGTCCGGGGCAAGAAGATTTTCAAGTCCAGCAGAGGCTACTAACTTTTGACTGAAAGACTTCTGACATTTGCATACCAATATTGAACTCTTGTTCTGTTACTATGGAAAGATTTAGAACTGCCTTTTCCAACTCATAAGTTCCAAAGGCTAAGAAAAAGGATCTTAGTACTGAAAAGAACTTAGACTTGTGTATACAAGCCAGTTTTCTATAATATCTGGTCTAGTGTGTTTATGTGGCGCTACTTTATGAACAAAGAAGCCAAAGGGTTTTTTGTTTTGTTTTGTTTTGTTTTTTTGCAGTACGGGGCCTCTCACTGTGGGATGAGAGGATGTGGGATCCTCCCGGACCGGGGCACAAACCCGTGTCCCCTGCATCGGCAGACGGACTCCCAACCACTGCGCCACCAGGGAAGCCCCTCCAGTCAGCCTTTTAATAAATGGCGAAAGAAAGGGAGGGCTTTGTGACAAGGAAGCACTTTTTTTCTTTTCATCTGGGACTAGGGAGATGCAATAGGGGAGAAAATAGGTAGAAGGAAGTTTCTTGATCTGTGATCTTGGGAACAACTGTCTACTTCATGATTTTGTCTGCTTCTGGGACCTGGAAATTGGTCCTGGAAATCCTTAGTTTAAGGTCACCTTAGGAATGGTCTTCCAGTTGTCCTGGGAGTGCTGCTGATCTGGGTCAAAGCTGGCAGTGCTCGCATGAATCCAGGAGGATTTTTCCTTTATTTTGATGGCAGTGTAAGTGCTCAGCAGTTTGTAAGGGCCTTCCCAGCAAGATGACAATGCATGCTTTCTTCTAAAAACCTTGATGTATACCCAATCTCCTGGTCAAAGGGGATAGCAAGTCAGTGCATTCCACGCCCTTTTTACTGTCGATAATATCCCCCAAGTATACTAGTTAGTTCCTGTATATGGCTAGTCGTAGTGTCATATTGTTCACTTAAGTCCCTATAGTGTTCACTCAATCCAGAAATGGGAGGTTTAGAGACGCCAGTAGGCATAGGGTGACCAAACACTATTTCAAAAGGGGTTAATCCACACCTTCTATTTGGAGTGTTCTGGATTTTTATAAGGGCCAGAGGTAGTGCTTCTGGCCATTAAGTCCAGTTTCTTGATAGACTTTTCCTAAAGTCCTTTTGCCTCTCCCGCTGCGGAGCACAGGCTCCAGACGCACAGGCCCAGCGGCCACTGCTCATGGGCCCAGCTGCTCCACGGTATGTGGGATCTTCCCGGACTGGGGCACGAACCCGTGTCCCCTGCATCGGCAGGTGGATTCTCAACCACTGCGCCACCAGGGAAGCCACTAAAGTCCTTTTGATGTCTAGATTTTTATGTTCTATTTGCCCTGAGGATTGGGGACGGTGCAGGGCATGAAATTTTAATGAGTACCCCAAAGTTTTTGCAAGCACATAGTTTATTTCTGTTATAAAATGAGTTCCTTGGTCTGACTCAATCCATAAAGGAATACCAAAATGAGAAATAATCTAGTTATTAATTTATTCACTGCTGTGTGGTGTTGTCATGTCTAGTCAGATAGCATTTAGTCCATCTACTAGGTGTACAGACAGTAAACCACTGGGATTAGCCTAGAGCTGGAGGTAAAACTGTGAAATCCATTTGGAGTCCTGCAGGGGACAGAGTGGTAGAGAACATTTCCTTGCCCACAATTCTGGTATCAAGGATGGATGTCACTAACTGGACACTGCTCACTCCAGGGCTGCTGCTGGTGACAGATCCTGGGACCTCTAACATAACCCGGCAGAAGATGAGAATTCTACTAGTCAGTCTCCCAGATTTCTGCCTGTAGTATCCAATAAACGAGAATGGTAAGAGTCTCTTCTTGTCTTTTTCTCTTTCTGAATTTAGATTAACAGGAGAAAACATTTGTTTGAACTGTTTGGGGGGGTTATAGTGACTCTGGTGTCTTCTGTTATGAATACTCTTGTTTTCTATTTCTAATGGCTGTAGAGAAAGAAAAGCTTAAAAAACAATCTCCCTAGACCCCAGCACCCTCAGAGGGTATATTTTTACCCCTCTGAGGGACAGTACCCCATCAAACAACAGGGTCAACTGATCCTCAGCTGCACCCCAGAGCTCACCATTAAACTTACAGTAGAGAATCAGAAACTGGATTTCTTAATTGACACTGGTGCAACTTTACCGTCAAGTCAGAGGATTTATCTCTGTCACCCCTGATTCTATTCAAGCTGTCGAATTCTCTGGGTAATCTATTTTACTGTCCACATTTCAGGCCACCTCAATATCCTTAGGACTTTCATTTCTCTTATTTCTTTTCCATCATTACTACTTTACACACCTATGATAGTTTTCTTTGAGAGTTGTACAGTCATCAAAACTAATTGCTATTTGTTGCAGCTTCTCTTTTTTTTTTTTTTTTTTTCCGGTATGCGGGCCTCTCACTGTCGTGGCTTCTCCCATTGCGGAGCACACGCGCAGGCTCAGCAGCCATGGCTCTCGGGCCCAGCTGCTCCGTGGCATGTGGGATCCTCCTGGACCGGGTCACGAACCCGTGTCCCCCGCATCGGCAGGCGGACTCTCAGCCACTGCGCCACCAGGGAAGCCCGCAGCTTCTCTTTGATCTTCATCTTGACCTTTAGCAGCTCCCGCTATTAATCTGTTTCCACCCCACTCAGCCAACCTGGTGCCCAGCAAACACCCTTTGCTCCAGCCAGATTGATTTCTTCTTCGTCCTCATGGAAACTCTTCTCCTTTTGGCCTTTAGGCTTTGGCACATGTTGTCTTCATTAAACTGAAATGCTTCCCCACCTATCCTAATCCTTCCCATCTTTTTTCAGTTCAAATTGCCAACTTCATAAAGTTTCCCTCGCTACAGTTCACGTTGATCTCTCCATTCTCAGTATTTTTAACACACCAATTGCAAAAAAGTTCACATTTAACTCATCTCCAACTACTTCATATGTCATGCTTTCTTCTTAGGGTGAGAGTTATCTTCTGAAAATTATGCAGTGAGTATTTGTTCCCATAGTTTTTTGCCTTTCTTCTGCATCAATTACCCTCTACATTCTGTAACAGCCACCTGTTGATGAGGTGTCTACTGGTCATTTTTCAAAACTTCTCTACCTTCAGCTCAAAAAACAGTGAAATTTTCTTGACATAGTTTGGTACGTTGGCTTGCTTTGTAGCAAAATTTTATGTAAATTATCTCCCCTATCAGAGTATTAAATATTCTTCAGGATATTTTACCTATCCTATATTTTTACCATCTTTGCAGCCTCTATAGTCTCTCAAACCGTACCTTGAATGTGGAAGAAATTAAATATTTATTCAGTTATGTTTCTTGTATTCTGCAGCCACTAATACAATCTTAATTATCTCTTTTGTAACACAGTAGTATAATGATACCACTGAAATCTACCACTACTGATCTACCACTGTCAGTGAGGATACTTTCTGAGATTTTTCTCAAGTACCAGTAATGGATATACACTAATCCATTCCCCCATTTTGGATTTCATGTCTTTTATTTCAGTGAATACTCCTTGAATGCCTACTGTGTGTCAGGCACTATCTGAGGAGCCATAGGAGATACAGATGCAATAGTCATCCAATTCTTTAGAAGTACTGGCTGAGGACATCTCACAGATATGGGATATTCAAACACTGTCCCAGAGCCCTGGGGTTCCGCATCATGCTTGGGATGTTAGGAAGGCTAAGCAGGATTGGCTGTGAATAAACTGCCTACCCTCTTCCCCCTACCTACTCGCACACATACAGACTTCAACCTTAAGAGCTCAGTTTTGTTTATTTTATATTTTGGGGTTTCATAAAAGATTTTATTTCAAAATAAAGAGGGCATTCTGCTGCATTTTGAAGTTTAAAAACAACTTAATATGGCCAAGCTTAATTGGTAGTCATAGATGACAAAGATGTTAAAACCCACAGCCTTGAAGTCTCATTATGCTAACCAATAGAGCAATCAACCTTTGTTTTATTGAAAGGTGTTGGAGGGATGGTCATTGAGGGTGCAGATTGAAAGGTTAGTCAATACATGACACGTCTTCTCTCATAAAGTCATGTAATAGGCTTCCAAGAGTAGACATGACAATGTTGACATAGGTGTGGGCTAGAATAACAGTGTTAAGCAAATGGAGGCCCAGGTGATAACTGCTATATATAAAATATTAACCTGAATTACACTTGTTTTATAGGTGTGAGAAATGTCAACATGTTAACAGCAGTTAACTCTGGGAGATGGAATGACAGATCATTTTATTCTTTGTGCTTTTTCACAAAGTTGGGAAGATGGGAAGAAAGTTTTTTGAAATAAGTTAGGAAACAAGAAAGAGATAAGTCTAGGTCAAAATGATTACTTAAGTATTTCTAACATCAGATCACAGGCACTAGGCACATAAGTATCAGGGGATTATAATGATTTATAACAGTGTTTTTCAAACTGTGTTTCATGGAGCTCCATGTTTCCTCAGGGAGAACTCAGGGACCAACATGAAATGGAGCAATAGATGCAGGGAATGAGGCTTCAAGCCTCTACTGGAGAACTCAGCTTTTATGTTCATATCTATAAATATGCCCTGTTAGAAAACAGATTTATTTTTTTCTGCTCTGATGAGAACTCTGTCAAAAAACCACCTTGTGAGACCCATGTTCAGAATGGTAGAGTAGGCAGCTCCACGCCTCTGTCCCTCCACGAAACATTGAAAATAAGCAGAAACAACCTGAAATAAGTTTGCCAGAACTCTGGAAACAGTCAAAGGTTTACAGAAACCAAGCAAATCCTAGTCAAAATATGTGAAGACATGGATAGAACTGAGGGAGAAATAGATCTACGATAATAATTGAAAATTTCAGTACTCCACTTTCAGTAATGGGCAAAACATCTGATCTAGACAGAAGATCAATAAGAAAATAGAGGACTTTCAGATAAAGACAAATACTGTATGATATCACTTATATGTGGAATCTGAAAACTAAACTAGTGAATATAACAAAAAAGAAACAGACTCACAGATATAGAGAACAAACTAGTGGTTACCAGTGGGAAAAGGGAAGCAGGGAGGGGCAATATAGTGGCTAGGGGAGTAAGAGGTACAAAGTACTATGTATAAAATAAATAAGCTACAAGGATATATTGTACAGCACAGGGAAATAGGCAATATTTTATAATAACTACAAATGGAGTATACCTTTAAAAACTTTGAATCACTATGTTGTACACCTGAAACTTATATTGTGAATCAGCTATACCTCAATTTAAAAAAAAGGAAAAGAAAATAGAGAACTTGAAGGACATTATAAAGCAATGAGATGTAACAGACATATATAGAATACTCCACACAAAAACTGCAGAGTACACTACATCAGTTGGTAACCCAGGCAGACTAAAATAGAGGGTGTATTGATTTTAGAAACTGGGAAGAATAAATTCATTCCTCAAGGGAGGATTTGTGTTTCTTTCTGCCATGGGTATGACGACATTACAGACCTGAGTCCAGTTTAAATGAGTCCAGAAATGAAGAATTTTAGTGTATGATATTCCTTACCACGTAAACAGTATAAATTTTGATCCTAAATCCATGTCTGAACCTTCCAGTGGCTATAAATTCTCAGGAGAGCTTTTCTCCCCTTCTAGACAGTTTTCTTTCCTGCTTACCTCTGTGAAGGGTTATTTATTCACTTGTTTCTAGTGAACTCTTTTCCTTGTGAATGGCTTTTCCTGAGCATGACTTTTATGCTAGATGGAGCTCTCTGCTCTTGGAAGATGTACAGTTCTGGGCAGCCTGGGTATAAAGGTTCTCCCAGGGCACCCAACTGCTTCAGTTCTCTTTTCTTTCCCTATATTCCTACCACTGCTTTCCTGGAAGCCTCTTGCATTCATTTAAAAATTGTTTCTAGTATTTCATCTAGCAATTTTTCAATGAATTTAGAGAATTATGAATGAATTTCTCTTTTATTTTTTCAAGTAGCATTTAAATACAGTTGGAAAATGGTACACATATTTGTGGGAGAGATCATTGTCTTTTCATTGTCTTTTCTATTGCTAATGTTGAGTACCTCAGTGAATTGGTGTACCACTCAAAATGACGCCATCAATGCTCAGAACTGATGAATTCTGAATAGCACACATTAGAATCATTGTTCATATGAGGCCTGTGAAAACCAATACTCACTTTCCCACTAAGTGATTTTGTTAACCCCTCTGCTGTTAAGCCACCCTTTGGGGCTTGGTTTTTTCCTCATCTCTATGATGTATTGGTTTATCTAGTATATCTTCTCAAGCAATATGGGTTACAGAGGTTGTATGACATCTTGATCTCTATGATCCCCAAGTGTGGCCTCGAGCAGCATGAACTCTTTGCCAATCACTGTTAGTCCCTAGCAGTCTCATCTTTTTATCCCAGTGCCAGACAGTCATAATTTTCCATGTGCACTATGTTGTGAAAAAGGTTAAGAAGCGTGGTCTAGATGATCCTCTAACAGTCCTTCTGTCTCTAAAACTCTTGATTTAAAAAATTAACTATTAATGCACTTTTCCTCTCTGGGCACTTGTTTAGTGAATGAGTATATTGTATGCAAGAGAAAATGGGGATAGGTTTTACACAGAGTTGCTTTGAACTGAAATCTTTAAAAGGAGTTGCATGTCTTTGTGAATGAGGAAAATCTCAAGCATTTTGTGCTAAGTGACCTATTTAGAGCCAGTAATGCCATTCTAGGATTTGAATGAGCCAAGGCCCTTGATGGCTTCTTGGGCACATATCATATTTTATTATAACTAGTTTCATTGTGCTGCTTCATCTCCTCACTTTTGTATGAGTACAATATAATAGAAGCAGCTTATGTGGCCTCGTGTCCTTTCCTCTTTTTTTTTTAATATTTATAGTTGTATGCCTTTGTTTCACTTTGTTTTCAATCCTTCTGTTTCTCTGGTATTTTGAACACTGAAATAAGAGTCTGATTTCACTTCGTAAGGACTCATACCCATAAAACCTATCAAAAACAATGATTGGTTTTGTTTATACCTGAAAGCATGGACCCCAACATGCTCTACTTCTGTTTCTAGCGCGATTCTGAGTCATGCTTTAAAAAGAATGTTTAGCACTTAGCAACCCGGAGTTCAGTCTGGCCCTGAAGTCGCATTGTTTGGTTTGGGATGTAGCGTGTTTTTAAAAGAATGTATTCCTGTCTCCACTCCAGACCTACCAAATCTGAACCTCCATGAGTGCATAAGGGGAGGTGAGGGAATGCAGTTTTACAGAACTGTACTTTTAGCTCTGGGGAATACTTCTTTGGAAACAGCTGAGAGAGCAAGTTATTTGGCTAAAAAAAATGGAGGTAGGGTTGAAGAAGACTTCACAGAAGAGGTTTTTTTTTTTTTTTAAAAAATTATCTTTGAAGGATGAATCAAATATTTGCCTGATGAGGAAGACTAGGGAAGGATATTTTAGACAGAAGTAGCATGAGTCGAGGCACAAAGTGAGACTCCATGGCGAATCTTTCAGAACTGTGAATTGTCTAGTGTAACTAGACTAGATTGATGCCGATACAGGAAGTAGAAATAACAGAAGAAGAATCAAGAAAGTAGATTAGGACTAAATTGTGAAAAGTCTGGATTGATAAGGATTTACATTTTATTTCATGGGAAATAAAAGTCATCAAAGGATTCATAAATATGACAATAATGTGGCAAGATTTTTATTTTATATTATAACCATGGCAGCAATGTGGAGGATGAATTCAAGGGAGAAGAAACTGGAGACAATGAGACCAACTGAAGATATAATTAGAGTAGCTCAGAAGAATGATTATAAGACAGTAGTTGGGGAAATAGAGGAAAAGGGCATACATTTAGAATCATTCATTTACTCACCAAATAGACTATTTTGTATGTGCTAGCTGTGAGCCCTGTGCTAGCTGTTAGGAAAAAATGAAACCAAACCATGAATGTTCTAAGACAAATAAAAAATATATAACTTATGTTGTATGTGTATGAAAAAAATAAATATTTTTAAAATAATGGTATCCTCTTTGTGGAAGAAATATAAATAATTTTACTCTTCTTTAGACATTATTGAATTTTCTAAAGTGTC